AGATGTTTGAATAGGGTATTTTTGTTTTTAAATGATATTGTAAATTGGAATGGTAGAGTTGTGTATTTCATGGAGTTATTAGAATCGCATGGGAAGGTCTGCTCAATCCAAGATTACAACCAATTGATTACAGCATTACCCCAAACATGGAGGAGGCTGGTGGCAGCGGGAGGAGGTAGAGAACTGGTCTGTCTGCCCAATATAAAGGATCAAGGGTGGAGGTAGGGAACTGGTCTGTCTGCCCAATATAAAGGATCAAGGGAGGAGATAGAGAACTGGTCTGTCTGCCCAATATAAAGGATCAAGGGAGGAGGTAGGGAACTGGTCTGTCTGCCCAATATAAAGGATCAAGGGAGGAGGCAGGGAACTGGTCTGTCTGCCCAATATAAAGGATCAAGGGAGGAGGTAGGGAACTGGTCTGTCTGCCCAATATAAAGGATCAAGGGAGGAGGTAGGGAACTGGTCTGTCTGCCCAATATAAAGGATCAAGGGAGGAGGTAGGGAACTGGTCTGTCTGCCCAATATAAAGGATCAAGGGAGGAGGCAGGGAACTGGTCTGTCTGCCCAATATAAAGGATCAAGGGAGGAGGTAGGGAACTGGTCTGTCTGCCCCAATATAAAGGATCAAGGGAGGAGGTAGGGAACTGGTCTGTCTGCCCAATATAAAGGATCAAGGGAGGAGGTAGGGAACTGGTCTGTCTGCCCAATATAAAGGATCAAGGGAGGAGGTAGGGAACTGGTCTGTCTGCCCAATATAAAGGATCAAGGGAGGAGGTAGGGAACTGGTCTGTCTGCCCAATATAAAAGATCAAGGGAGGAGGTAGGGAACTGGTCTGTCTGCCCAATATAAAGGATCAAGGGAGGAGGTAGGGAACTGGTCTGTCTGCCCAATATAAAGGATCAAGGGAGGAGGTAGGGAACTGGTCTGTCTGCCCAATATAAAGGATCAAGGGAGGAGGTAGGGAACTGGTCTGTCTGCCCAATATAAATAATAAAAATAGCATGAATAGGAAAGTATAGCAGTTTCATTTGAGGACCAGGATGTTGACAGCTGTGTGCCATGCAGATTGCAAAATAGTTGGGAAGAGATTTTTGATATACCGATTCCATGGTATATAGAATTCTTGCCACCAACAAAATGTTGAATATTTGGGGCATACAATCATCGCAGCTCTGCAGATTGTGTTGTGAGGATACAGAATCAATAGACCATTTATTTTGGTATTGCCCTCAGGTAGCCTGGTTCTGGTCTCAGGTTCAGGAATGGCTGAAAATGCATAACATTCATCTAAAATTGACCCTAGAAATAGGACTGTTGGGAGATCTGGAGAGACCGGGTCAATCAACTACTAATATACTAACACTCTTAGTAAAAAGTATTTATCTTCAACTCACAATCTGTGGATTCTATTCGATTAGATATATTGAAATTGTATGCTTAAACATCACAGCATAGTTGAAAGATATACAGTGAGGGAAAAAAGTATTTGATCCCCTGCTGATTTTGTAAGTTTGCCCACTGACATAGACATGATCAGTCTATAATTTTAATGGTAGGTTTATTTGAACAGTGAGAGACAGAATAACAACAAAAAAATCCAGAAAAACGCATGTCAAAAATGTTATAAATTGATTTGCATTTTAATGAGGGAAATAAGTATTTGACCCCTCTGCAAAACATGACTTAGTACTTGGTGGCAAAACCCTTGTTGGCAATCACAGAGGTCAGATGTTTCTTGTAGTTGGCCACCAGGTTTGCACACATCTCAGGAGGGATTTTGTTCCACTCCTCTTTGCAGATCTTTTCCAAGTCATTAAGGTTTCGAGGCTGATGTTTGGCAACTCGAACCTTCAGCTCCCTCCACAGATTCTCTATGGGATTAAGGTCTGGAGACTGGCTAGGCCACTCCAGGATCTTAATGTGCCTCTTCTTGAGCTACTCCTTTGTTGCCTTGGCCGTGTATTTTGGGTCATTGTCATGCTGGAATACCCATCCACGACCCATTTTCAATGCCCTGGCTGAGGGAAGGAGGTTCTCACCCAAGATTTGACGGTACATGGCCCCGTCCATCGTCCCTTTGATGGTGTGAAGTTGTCCTGTCCCCTTAGCAGAAAAACACCCCCAAAGCATAATGTTTCCACCTCCATGTTTGACGGTGGGGATGGTGTTCTTGGGGTCATAGGCAGCATTCCTCCTCCTCCAAACACGGCGAGTTGAGATGATGCCAAAGAGATCGATTTTGGTCTCATCTGACCACAACACTTTCACCCAGTTCTTGATAGAGGAATTATGATTATGACTAAAATTGTTCACCCCCGATACTGTGTGAACTGTGTTAGGGTTATCATTATAAACCCACTAACAGAGGGGGGTGAGTTAGAAACTGCTGAGACAAACATTCCAGGATGAAGGGGACTTAGAAACTGGTTAAAGGCCTCCTAAAGGTGGGCGGCGCAAAGTGTGTTTTGGCGGGAGAGCTCTCCATTATTAAATAATACAGATCATTCTTGCTGGTTGTGGACCTTTGTTTATTTAATTCATTATTAAAACCAGAGCCTTACACCCTCTGGGAATTATTCAAAGCATTGAGTTTAATTAGATAAATAAATTCTCGTGACAAATGGTCCTTCGAGCCGGATCTCAAAATACGTCTTTGTCGTTCCCACAGGTGAACTAAAGGAGAAGGTGACCCACTCTATCTAACCAGGTGACTGGTGTGGATCCAGTCCCTAAAGAAGAAAGACTGGAAGCACGCCTGTTGGGAAGGGCCCTATCAGGTTATATTGGTCACTGCCTTTGCCATTAGAATAGCAGAGAGAGCAACCTGGGTCCATGTTACCCACTGCAAGAGGGTAAGACCACATACAAGCACCACTGAACACACGCAGAGTTAGAGAGAAGAACTGGACCAATAGGGTCTGGGGATCACCTCTGTTAACGAAGATCTCCTACCCCGACCTATCATCACTGTAGTGTGTTCTCAGGGTGTGAGTACAGGGTAGTACCAAGCAGAAAGACTGAGGGCAGGAGAGGGTTGGTGGTTTTTGTGAATATGGATAACCTGAGCTGCATCATAGTCTCGGCAATGGTCCTGATATGTCAAGATCCACCACCACACCTACGCTATGCCCTTACCATTGTTAAGAAGTCAAAGAGAAGAGAAGCGACCCGACATACTGACCGTCAAGGACGAGTGGCCTACAAAATGGGAGTCAGAGAAGGGCAGACTGTAGGATTCAAAATAAGGGTTAGGGACGTAGCCAACGGGTGGGGTACATGTCAACAAGCAATTTGGGATTATAAAATCCCATAATATTCGTGTTCGAGCCCCACGGCGGATTGTTCCTAGACTCAAGTGTTTAAAAACACACTTGGGGACGGGGATATGAGACCGGGCGGGACTGGACATCCAGATGGGGGGTAAAGAGAAACAAAGACATCACCAATTATCAATTGGAGATAGTAGTAATGTGACTGACTTAAGTTCGGAAGCACAGGAGAGAATTCTAAACCTCACAGCCCCTGTAACCGATGTGTGGTGGGCGTGTGCCAGTAAAAGGCAGTATAAGGCAGATAATTCCAAAAGGGTGGCTGGGTACCTGCGCCCTGGTTCTACTGATTCAGCTAGTTAGAATTAGTCACCAGGAACCAAGGAAAGGGTTAAACAGATGTAGGAGGAGTTTTAACAAGAAGGAGAATAGCCCTATTTAGATGGATGCGATTGGGGTACCAAGGGGGGTATCGGATGGATACCGAGCTATGAAACAAGTAGGGGAAGGATTTACTACCACGTTCTTTTGGTGGATGACAATAAACAAAAATTGTGGACCAACAACGATTTATTGGCCAGACTAGGGATGCAGTAAAGGGGATCTCTGAACAATTATCCGCCACCTCACTCATGACTTGGAAAAATAGGTTGGCTCTAGATCAGGCAGAAAGGGGCGGTGTCTATAGAATGGTGGCCGTTGTTGCACATTTATCCCTAACAACACCGCACCGGATGGGACAGTCACCAGAGCTCTAGCAGGATTGATTGCTCTAAGTGAAGAATGGGCTGAGAACTCAGGGAGTTAATACATCTTTGATAGGGTGATTTGATGAAATGTTTGGTAAATGGAAAAAGATAGCAGCCACCGCAATTGGATGCAATTGCTTGGTATTATGTGGTTGTTGTTGTCTTGTTCCCTGTGTCCGAGGGTTGGTGAGTAAGGCGTTGGAGAAATGCAGTGTCTCAACCGATGGTGAGATATGGACGGAATCCGGACTCTGACCAGTGGAATGTGAAAAACGATCCTCCAGGCTTGGTGGATGACGAGGACTTTGACCCTGAAAGACCGCAATTGGATGAAACGTTTATTAGTTCTGATGTATGAAGGTCAGATTGATCATGCTTGTAAATACATTTATCCTGAGGGTGTAACAATTTAGTCAAAGGGTGAATTGATAGAGGAATTATGATTATGACTAAAATTGTTCACCCCGATACTGATGATGACTGTGAGAACTGTGTTAGGGTTATCATTGTAAACCCACTAACAGAGGGGGGGGGGGGGGGGGGGAGTTAGAAACTGCTGAGACAAACATTCCAGGATGAAGGGGACTTAGAAACTGGTTACAGGGTGCCTAAAGATGGGCGGAGCAAAGTTCCTTTGTGTGAAGGGGTATTAAAGGCGATGTGTGTGTGTGTTTTGGCGGGAGAGCTCTCCATGATTAAATACTACAGATCATTCTTGCTGGTTCTGGACCTTTGTTTAATTCATGATTAAAACCAGAGCCTTACACCCTCTGGGAATTATTCAAAGCATTGAGTTTAATTAGAGATAGAAATTCTCGTGACAGTTCTCCTCTGAATCGTTCAGATGTTCATTGGCAAACTTCAGACGGGCCTGTATATGTGCTTTCTTGAGCAGGGGGACCTTGCGGGCGCTGCAGGATTTCAGTCCTACACGGCGTAGTGTGTTACCAATTGTTTTCTTGGTGACTATGGTCCCAGCTGCCTTGAGATCATTAACAAGATCCTCCCGTGTAGTTCTGGGCTGATTCCTCACCGTTCTCATGATCATTGCAACTCCACGAGGTGAGATTTTGCATGGAGCCCCAGGCCGAGGGAGATTGACAGAGCTTTTGTGTTTCTTCCATTTGCGAATAAATCGCACCAAATGTTGTCACCTTCTCACCAAGCTGCTTGGCGATGGTCTTGTAGCCCATTCCAGCCTTGTGTAGGTCTACAATCTTGTCCCTGACATCCTTGGAGAGCTCTTTGGTCTTGGCCATGGTGGAGAGTTTGGAATCTGATTGACTGATTGCTTCTGTGGACAGGTGTCATTTATACAGGTAACAAACTGAGATTAGGAGCACTCCCTTTAAGAGTGTGCTCCTAATCTCAGCTCGTTACCTGTATAAAAGACACCTGGGAGCCAGAAATCTTTCTGATTGAGAGGGGGTCAAATACTTATTTCCCTCATTAAAATGCAAATCAATTTATAACATTTTTGACATGCGTTTTTCTGAATTTTTTTGTTGTTATTCTGTCTCTCACTGTTCAAATAAACCTACCATTAAAATTATAGACTGACCATTTCTTTGTCAGTGGGCAAACGTACAAAATCAAAAGGGGATCAAATACTTTTTTCCCCTCACTGTATGGTGCCATACTAGACAGCCTCAACACCTTCAGATCATAATAGTCAGCCTCAACACCTTCAGACCATACTAGTCAGCCTCAACACCATCCTAGTCAGCCTCAACACCATCCTAGTCAGCATCAACACCTTCAGACCATCCTAGTCAGCCTCAACACCTTCAGACCATACTAGTCAGCATCAACACCTTCAGACCATACTAGTCAGCCTCAACACCATCCTAGTCAGCCTCAACACCATCCTAGTCAGCATCAACACCTTCAGACCATACTAGTCAGCCTCAACACCTTCAGACCATACTAGTCAGCCTCAACACCTTCAGACCATCCTAGTCAGCATCAACACCTTCAGACCATCCTAGTCAGCCTCAACACCTTCAGACCATCCTAATCAGCCTCAACACCTTCAGACCATACTAGTCAGCCTCAACACCTTCAGACCATACTAGTCAGCCTCAACACCATCACACCATCCTAGTCAGCCTCAACACCTTCACACCATCCTAGTCAGCCTCAACACCTTCAGACCATCCTGGTCAGCCTCAACACCTTCAGACCATACTAGTCAGCCTCAACACCTTCAGACCATCCTAGTCAGCCTCAACACCATACTAGTCAGCCTCAACACCTTCAGACCATCCTAGTCAGCCTCAACACCTTCAGACCATACTAGTCAGCCTCAACACCTTCAGACCATCCTAGTCAGCCTCAACACCTTCAGACCATCCTAGTCAGCCTCAACACCTTCAGACCATACTAGTCAGCCTCAACACCTTCAGACCATCCTAGTCAGCCTCAACACCTTCAGACCATACTAGTCAGCCTCAACACCTTCAGACCATACTAGTCAGCCTCAACACCTTCAGACCATCCTGGTCAGCCTCAACACCTTCAGACCATACTAGTCAGCCTCAACACCTTCAGACCATCCTAGTCAGCCTCAACACCATACTAGTCAGCCTCAACACCTTCAGACCATCCTAGTCAGCCTCAACACCATACTAGTCAGCCTCAACACCTTCAGACCATACTAGTCAGCCTCAACACCTTCAGACCATCCTAGTCAGCCTCAACACCTTCAGACCATACTAGTCAGCCTCAACACCTTCAGACCATCCTAGTCAGCCTCAACACCTTCAGACCATCCTAGTCAGCCTCAACACCATACTAGTCAGCCTCAACACCTTCAGACCATCCTAGTCAGCCTCAACACCTTCAGACCATCCTAGTCAGCCTCAACACCTTCAGACCATCCTAGTCAGCCTCAACACCTTCAGACCATCCTAGTCAGCCTCAACACCTTCAGACCATCCTAGTCAGCCTCAACACCATACTAGTCAGCCTCAACACCTTCAGACCATCCTAGTCAGCCTCAACACCTTCAGACCATACTAGTCAGCCTCAACACCATCCTAGTCAGCCTCAACACCATCCTAGTCAGCCTCAACACCATCACACCATCCTAGTCAGCCTCAACACCTTCAGACCATCCTAGTCAGCCTCAACACCATACTAGTCAGCCTCAACACCTTCAGACCATCCTAGTCAGCCTCAACACCTTCAGACCATCCTAGTCAGCCTCAACACCTTCAGACCATACTAGTCAGCCTCAACACCTTCAGACCATCCTAGTCAGCCTCAACACCATCAGACCATCCTAGTCAGCATCAACACCTTCAGACCATCCTAGTCAGCCTCAACACCTTCAGACCATACTAGTCAGCCTCAGCACCATCCTAGTCAGCCTCAACACCATCCTAGTCAGCCTCAACACCATCCTAGTCAGCCTCAACACCATCCTAGTCAGCCTCAACACCTTCAGACCATACTAGTCAACCTCAACACCTTCAGACCATACTAGTCAACCTCAACACCTTCAGACCATACTAGTCAACCTCAACACCTTCAGACCATACTAGTCAGCCTCAACACCTTCAGACCATACTAGTCAGCCTCAACACCTTCACACCATACTAGTCAGCCTCAGCACCGTCAGATCATACTAGTCAGCATCAACAAATACGTGATACATCGACATACACTGATCTTGTTGAAGTATTTTAATACAACAGTATTCTGCGAGATGAGAGGTCTGATCAACCGTATTTTAACACAACAGTATTCTGCCAGATGAGAGGTCTGATCAACCGTATTTTAATACAACAGTATTCTGCCAGATAAGAGGTCTGATCAACCGTATTTTAATACAACAGTATTCTGCGAGATGAGGTCTGATCAACCGTATTTTAACACAACAGTATTCTGCCAGATAAGAGGTCTGATCTTTTTCCTCTCCTTCTCTCCCTCCCTCTCCATCTCTCCCTCCCTCTCCTTCACCCGCCTCCCTCTCCTTCACCCGCCTCCCTCTCCTTCTCTCCCTCCCTCTCCTTCACCCGCCTCCCTCTCCTTCACCCGCCTCTCTCTCCTTCTCTCCCTCCCTCTCCTTCACCCGCCTCCCTCTCCTTCACCCGCCTCCCTCTCCTTCTCTCCCTCCCTCTCCTTCACCCGCCTCCCTCTCCTTCACCCGCCTCTCTCTCCTTCTCTCCCTCCCTCTCCTTCACCCGCCTCCCTCTCCTTCACCCGCCTCCCTCTCCTTCACCCGCCTCCCTCTCCTTCACCCGCCTCCCTCTCCCTCCTTCTAGGTGTTCCAGAGGAGGATGGATGGAACAGTGAACTTCTACAGAGGATGGGACCAGTACAAGAACGGCTTTGGACATGCAGCGGGAGAGTACTGGCTGGGTAAGGACTTATTTAAAAAGCCTTTTCAAGGACAGATCACCAATGGAAAAACCTGGATAATATAATGAATAATTGGTAGTTAACTGAATTCTCTATAGTGAGGTTGTTGTGACAGTCAGTAGATAGGCAGGTCGATCACAACAAGACCATTGTGGTCTACCAAAAACATTTAGTTGGTGTGTAAAACCAGTGAGTCTAGAAATGCAACCTCCCACACTACCCCAAAGCAGTAAAAAAATACACTTTTATGACCCCTCTATAGAAAGATTGAAGGTCCCCCGTTACCAGTTTTTAAAAAATGAATGGAAGTATATATGGAGACTGTTTAGTGCCAAAAATAAGGGGTTAAATACATGTTAAAATAACAAAAAAACATTTATAATCTCTCAGATATAGGACAGGGGGGGACTATTCAATGTGTTTGTATGGGCTAATAGCAGTAAGGACTATCTGTTGTTCCATGTAGTGAATCTGTTATTCAATGTGTTTGTATGGGCTAATAGCAGTAAGGACTATCTGTTGTTCCATGTAGTGAATCTGTTATTCAATGTGTTTGTATGGGCTAATAGCAGTAAGGACTATCTGTTGTTCCAGGTAGTGAATATGTTATTCAATGTGTTTGTATGGGCTAATAGCAGTAAGGACTATCTGTTGTTCCAGGTAGTGAATCTGTTATTCAATGTGTTTGTATGGGCTAATAGCAGTAAGGCCAAATTAATTTTTTCATCAATTCATTTTTTACGTACAGTACCAGTCAAAATTTGACACACCTACTCATTCATGGGTTTTTCTTTATTTTTTTTACTATTTTCTACATTGTAGAATAATAGTGAAGACATCAAAACTATGAAATAACACATATGGAATCATGTAGTAACCAAAAAAGAGTAAAACAAATCAAGATATATTTTATATTTGAGATTCTTCAAATAGCCACCCTTTGCCTTGATGACACCAAAATTGGTTCTGTGAAAGTTCCCAGAACACAAAAACTGTCCAGTTGTGCTGATAATTATAGAACGTTCGTATAAAACATTTGCCTGATGTTGCAAGAACGTTCCAAAATCACATTTAATCTGTTCTTTAAAAAAGGTTCCCAGAATGTTTCATTAGATTGTGGGAACAGTCTTGTGAGAACATAGTGGGGACATCACTAAAGATATGTTCCCAAAACACAAAAACTGTCCAGTTGTGCTGATTATTACAATACTGTTGATTGTAAAAACATTTGCCTGATGTTGCAAGAACATTCCCAGAACAAATGTTTTTATGTTCTTTAAAAGATCCTAAAACATTGACTGTCCACGGGTCCATTCGGAATGGGTCTCCGTTTCTTTACATTAATTTATGCATATCGGGTCGGTTGGGAAAGCCACGGATCCCTTTCGGAGGACCTCTAGTACACAGTATGAAGTTTCAGTAAGTAGTAGTCAAGACATATTTCGGACACTGCCTTTGTACTAGTCTAAAGAGAGTTTGTGAAGGAAAAGTCATTGCGTTGCAAGATGGCCGCTCCAACGCCACCGCTACTTCTGGCCTAGTCACTAAAGGCTACTACCAACACTACTATCACCACCACCATCATCACCACCACCATCACCACCACCATCACCACCACCATCACCACCCCACTACTATTTATAACACAGTCACTACTCTTCATTGGTTGCACCCTCCATCACCCGGTCGCGTCACGCCATTGTTGTGAACATTCTAAATATGCCTCAGCCATACTGATTCCCAGAAGTCAAGCGGTAGTACCCAGTCATTCTGAACGGTGGCTAATGACAAATTATAAAATTAGAATATAGTGGCCTGGAAACAGGTTCCTACATTATGCAAATAATTAGTAGGAAACAACTTTGCCATCATTATGATGTCGTCCGAATTACTTTTAGACGGATGGCAATGTTGCCATTAGCTAGTGAAGTTCGTAAAAAAAATACCTAGCATTCCTAACGTTAGCTAGCTAAAATCTGGTGCTCTTCCCTTTTATCTTAACTAGCTAGCTAAAGTTATACTGTGGTCCTTGTGGTCCTTAGTTGTGGTCGTCTGTAGCTCAATTGGTAGAGCACGGCGCTTGTAAAGCCAGGGTAGTGGGTTCGATTCCCGGGACCACCCATACGTAAAAATGTATGCACACATGACTGTAAGTCGCTTTGGATAAAAGCGTCTGCTAAATGGCATATTATTATTATATATTATACTACAGCTAAAAGTCAATCTGATGACATCACAACGACGACAGAAGGTTGTCCTACTAATTATTTGCCTCCTTTAGAAATGGCATTGTGTTTCCAAGCCACTATTTTCATCAGCACCAATTGACAATACATTGAGTAGAAGGTTCAGTCAGGAGTGTCTTATTTCCAGTCGGAAGTCACACCGTTCAAAACAATATTGTGACGAAACGTGCAACACATTAACACTAGCCTCAAATTTGTCAACCCTCAGCCTCTAACAATTTAAACCTCTAAACTTCTTCCACTAACATAACAATCCTTCTGGACAGCTGAAGCATATCGCCATTTTTCTTCAATAAAAAAAAAAACAGTTTCTAGCTGCATTTTAGAAACGTCTGTCCCACATGGAGGTGACGCAGGGTTTTGGTTCCGGGTTTCCAAGATGAGGCGCTACGGATCACAGATCTGGTATTTCTATGCATTATTCGATCAAGTGGTTCAAAGTAAAACAACATGTGACAATTTACTAACAAAATATGAACAGAAAGGTAGAGTACACGCATGTTCTGGTGTAACGTCGAGACAACTTACGGATAATACGGATAAAATAAAAACACTTGTTTAAAAAGACTGAGAAAGTCCAGGGAATTACAAAAGTGGAACTGCCCGTATTGTGAAATCGTGTTTGCTACCCTGATAAATATTAGCCAATCATGATCCACCCACCCCTTCTAAAAAAAGTACACAAAAGGACGGATGAGTCACAATCACATTATTTGCTTGTCCGGCTGAAAACCAACTGGAAAAATACTTTTTTACCATTCCAACAATGCAGGTAAGTTGTAGGCATCATTTTACAACTGCATCATTTTACCACTTACAGACTGTTATATGTAATCAGATCTACTTCCATATTTTGAGCAGTAATTGTACGTTTCACACACAGAATGACAAGCAGAATGTTAATTGAACAGGCGCTCTGTGGTTTCCCATGTTTCAGGCCCTGAAGTTCCTCCACGTGCTGCTGTCAGTAGCAGTTCACTCTAAGGTACTGATGTTCCAGCCTCTGGACTGCGCTGACGTCTACAACAACGGTTCTAAGACCAGTGGTATCTACAGGATCTACCCTGCTGGGCCCAACTCTCCTCCATACGTCTACTGTGATATGGACACTGACGGAGGGAAATGGACTGTGAGTAGGCTACCTAGTAGGAAACGGTTTTAACAGAGTACATAACAGCGTTCAGATATTGAGGGTTTGGGCAACACCTTCAGAATAACAAATATTACAACTAATATTATGGCTGAACTCGAATGTGCTGGTTGATAAAATAACTGTATTTATGGGAAAGATGTTTGAAAAGGGTATTTTTGTTTTTAAATGATATTGTAAATTGGAATGGTAGAGTTGTGTATTTCATGGAGTTATTAGAATCGCATGGGAAGGTCTGCTCAATCCAAGATTACAACCAATTGATTACAGCATTACCCCAAACATGGAGGAGGCTGGTGGCAGCGGGAGGAGGTAGGGAACTGGTCTGTCTGCCCAGTATAAAGGATCAAGGGAGGAGGTAGGGAACTGGTCTGTCTGCCCAATATAAAGGATCAAGGGAGGAGGTAGGGAACTGGTCTGTCTGCCCAGTATAAAGGATCAAGGGAGGAGGTAGGGAACTGGTCTGTCTGCCCAATATAAAGGATCAAGGGAGGAGGTAGGGAACTGGTCTGTCTGCCCAATATAAAGGATCAAGGGAGGAGGTAGGGAACTGGTCTGTCTGCCCAATATAAAGGATCAAGGGAGGAGGTAGGGAACTGGTCTGTCTGCCCAATATAAAGGATCAAGGGAGGAGGTAGGGAACTGGTCTGTCTGCCCAATATAAAGGATCAAGGGAGGAGGTAGGGAACTGGTCTGTCTGCCCAATATAAAGGATCAAGGGAGGAGGTAGGGAACTGGTCTGTCTGCCCAATATAAAGGATCAAGGGAGGAGGTAGGGAACTGGTCTGTCTGCCCAATATAAAGGATCAAGGGAGGAGGTAGGGAACTGGTCTGTCTGCCCAATATAAAGGATCAAGGGAGGAGGTAGGGAACTGGTCTGTCTGCCCAGTATAAAGGATCAAGGGAGGAGGTAGGGAACTGGTCTGTCTGCCCAATATAAAGGATCAAGGGAGGAGGTAGGGAACTGGTCTGTCTGCCCAATATAAAGGATCAAGGGAGGAGGTAGGGAACTGGTCTGTCTGCCCAATATAAAGGATCAAGGGAGGAGGTAGGGAACTGGTCTGTCTGCCCAGTATAAAGGATCAAACTGGCGGAGGAACAAAAATAGCATAAATAGGAAGGTATACCCGTTTCATTTGAGGACCAGGATGTTGACAGCTGTGCCATACAGATTGCAAAATATGATATACCGATTCCATGGTACAGGGTGTATGAGTTGATATATAAAACGACGCAAGATTCAAGACTTCGTGCTTTTCAGCTAAAATTATTATATAGAAATCTTGCCACCAACAAAATGTTGAATATTTGGGGCATACAATCATCGAAGCTCTGCAGATTGTGTTGTGAGGATACAGAATCAATAAACCATTTATTTTGGTATTGCCCTCAGGTAGCCTGGTTCTGGTCTCAGGTTCAGGAATGGATGAAAATGCATAACATTGATCTAAAATTGACCCTAGAAATAGGACTGTTGGGAGATCTGGAGAGACCGGGTCAATCAACTACTAATATACTAACACTCTTAGTAAAAAGTATTTATCTTCAACTCACAATCTGTGGATTCTATTCGATTAGATATATTGAAATTGTATGCTTAAACATCACAGCATAGTTGAAAGACATATGGTGCCATCCTAGTCAGCCTCAACACCTTCAGACCATCCTGGTCAGCCTCAACACCTTCAGACCATACTAGTCAGCCTCAACACCTTCAGACCATACTAGTCAGTCTCAACACCATCCTAGTCAGCCTCAACACCTTCAGACCATCCTGGTCAGCCTCAACACCTTCAGACCATACTAGTCAGCCTCAACACCTTCAGACCATACTAGTCAGCCTCAACACCTTCAGACCATCCTAGTCAGCCTCAACACCTTCAGACCATCCTGGTCAGCCTCAACACCTTCAGACCATCCTAGTCAGCCTCAACACCTTCAGACCATACCTAGTCAGCCTCAACACCTTCAGACCATCCTAGTCAGCCTCAACACCTTCAGACCATACTAGTCAGCCTCAACACCTTCAGACCATACTAGTCAGCCTCAACACCTTCAGACCATACTAGTCAGCCTCAACACCTTCAGACCATCCTGGTCAGCATCAACACCTTCAGACCATCCTAGTCAGCCTCAACACCTTCAGACCATACTAGTCAGCCTCAACACCTTCAGACCATACTAGTCAGCCTCAACACCTTCAGACCATCCTAGTCAGCTCAACACCATTCAGACCATCCTAGTCACCTTCAGACCATACTAGTCAGCCTCAACACCTTCAGACCATACTAGTCAGCCTCAACACCTTCAGACCATCCTAGTCAGCCTCAACACCTTCAGACCATCCTAGTCAGCCTCAACACCATACTAGTCAGCCTCAACACCTTCAGACCATCCTAGTCAGCCTCAACACCATACTAGTCAGCCTCAACACCTTCAGACCATACTAGTCAACCTCAACACCATACTAGTCAGCCTCAACACCATCCTAGTCAGCCTCAACACCATACTAGTCAGCCTCAACACCTTCAGACCATACTAGTCAGCCTCAACACCATACTAGTCAGCCTCAACACCATACTAGTCAGCCTCAACACCTTCAGACCATCCTAGTCAGCCTCAACACCTTCAGACCATACTAGTCAGCCTCAACACCTTCAGACCATACTAGTCAGCCTCAACACCTTCAGACCATACTAGTCAGCCTCAACACTTTCAGACCATACTAGTCAGCCTCAACACCTTCAGACCATCCTAGTCAGCCTCAACACCATACTAGTCAGCCTCAACACCTTCAGACCATCCTAGTCAGCCTCAACACCTTCACACCATACTAGTCAGCCTCAACACCTTCACACCATACTAGTCAGCCTCAACACCATACTAGTCAGCCTCAACACCTTCAGACCATACTAGTCAGCCTCAACACCATACTAGTCAGCCTCAACACCTTCAGACCATCCTAGTCAGCCTCAACACCATACTAGTCAGCCTCAACACCTTCAGACCATCCTAGTCAGCCTCAACACCATACTAGTCAGCCTCAACACTTTCAGACCATACTAGTCAGCCTCAACACCTTCAGACCATCCTAGTCAGCCTCAACACCATACTAGTCAGCCTCAACACCTTCAGACCATCCTAGTCAGCCTCAACACCTTCAGACCATACTAGTCAGCCTCAACACCTTCAGACCATCCTAGTCAGCCTCAACACCATACTAGTCAGCCTCAACACCTTCAGACCATCCTAGTCAGCCTCAACACCATCCTAGTCAGTCTCAACACCTTCAGACCATACTAGTCAGCCTCAACACCTTCAGACCATCCTAGTCAGCCTCAACACCTTCAGACCATCCTAGTCAGCCTCAACACCTTCAGACCATACTAGTCAGCCTCAACACCTTCAGACCATCCTAGTCAGCCTCAACACCATACTAGTCAGCCTCAACACCTTCAGACCATACTAGTCAGCCTCAACACCTTCAGACCATACTAGTCAGCCTCAACACCATACTAGTCAGCCTCAACACTTTCAGACCATCCTAGTCAGCCTCAACACCTTCAGACCATCCTAGTCAGCCTCAACACCATACTAGTCAGCCTCAACACCTTCAGACCATACTAGTCAGCCTCAACACCTTCAGACCATACTAGTCAGCCTCAACACTTTCAGACCATACTAGTCAGCCTCAACACCTTCAGACCATACTAGTCAGCCTCAACACCATACTAGTCAGCCTCAACACTTTCAGACCATACTAGTCAGCCTCAACACCTTCAGACCATCCTAGTCAGCCTCAACACCATACTAGTCAGCCTCAACACCTTCAGACCATACTAGTCAGCCTCAACACCATCCTAGTCAGCCTCAACACCTTCAGACCATCCTAGTCAGCCTCAACACCATCCTAGTCAGCCTCAACACCTTCAGACCATACTAGTCAGCCTCAACACCTTCAGACCATCCTAGTCAGCCTCAACACCTTCACACCATACTAGTCAGCCTCAACACCATACTAGTCAGCCTCAACACCTTCAGACCATACTAGTCAGCCTCAACACCTTCACACCATACTAGTCAGCCTCAACACCTTCACACCATACTAGTCAGCCTCAACACCATACTAGTCAGCCTCAACACCATCACACCATACTAGTCAGCCTCAACACCTTCAGACCATACTAGTCAGCCTCAACACCATCCTAGTCAGCCTCAACACCTTCAGACCATCCTAGTCAGCCTCAACACCATCCTAGTCAGCCTCAACACCTTCAGACCATACTAGTCAGCCTCAACACCTTCAGACCATCCTAGTCAGCCTCAACACCTTCAGACCATACTAGTCAGCCTCAACACCTTCAGACCATCCTAGTCAGCCTCAACACCTTCAGACCATACTAGTCAGCCTCAACACCTTCAGACCATCCTAGTCAGCCTCAACACCATACTAGTCAGCCTCAACACCTTCAGACCATCCTAGTCAGCCTCAACACCTTCAGACCATACTAGTCAGCCTCAACACCTTCAGACCATCCTAGTCAGCCTCAACACCTTCAGACCATACTAGTCAGCCTCAACACCTTCAGACCATACTAGTCAGCCTCAACACCTTCACACCATCCTAGTCAGCCTCAACACCATCCTAGTCAGCCTCAACACCTTCAGACCATACTAGTCAGCCTCAACACCTTCAGACCATCCTAGTCAGCCTCAACACCTTCACACCATACTAGTCAGCCTCAACACCATACTAGTCAGCCTCAACACCTTCAGACCATCCTAGTCAGCCTCAACACCATACTAGTCAGCCTCAACACCTTCAGACCATACTAGTCAGCCTCAACACCTTCAGACCATCCTAGTCAGCCTCAACACCATCACACCATACTAGTCAGCCTCAACACCATACTAGTCAGCCTCAACACCTTCAGACCATCCTAGTCAGCCTCAACACCTTCAGACCATACTAGTCAGCCTCAACACCTTCAGACCATCCTAGTCAGCCTCAACACCTTCAGACCATCCTAGTCAGCCTCAACACCTTCAGACCATACTAGTCAGCCTCAACACCTTCAGACCATCCTAGTCAGCCTCAACACCTTCAGACCATACTAGTCAGCCTCAACACCTTCACACCATACTAGTCAGCCTCAACACCATACTAGTCAGCCTCAACACCTTCAGACCATCCTAGTCAGCCTCAACACCATACTAGTCAGCCTCAACACCTTCAGACCATCCTAGTCAGCCTCAACACCTTCAGACCATACTAGTCAGCCTCAACACCTTCACACCATACTAGTCAGCCTCAACACCATACTAGTCAGCCTCAACACCTTCAGACCATCCTAGTCAGCCTCAACACCTTCAGACCATCCTAGTCAGCCTCAACACCTTCAGACCATCCTAGTCAGCCTCAACACCTTCAGACCATCCTAGTCAGCCTCAACACCTTCAGACCATACTAGTCAGCCTCAACACCTTCACACCATACTAGTCAGCCTCAACACCATACTAGTCAGCCTCAACACCTTCAGACCATACAGGTCTGATCAACCGTATTTTAATACAACAGTATTCTGCCAGATAATAGGTCTGATCAATCGTTGCTACTGAATTCTCCTGAGTCAGTACTTGACGACATGGCCTAGTTGCTTACAATGTTTCCTCTCCTTCACCCGCCTCCCTCTCCTTCTCTCCCTCCCTCTCCTTCACCCGCCTCCCTCTCCTTCTCTCCTTCTCTCCCTCCCTCCCTCTCCATCTCTCCCTCCCTCTCCTTCTCTCCCTCCCTCTCCTTCACCCGCCTCCCTCTCCCTCCTTCTAGGTGTTCCAGAGGAGGATGGATGGAACAGTGAACTTCTACAGAGGATGGGACCAGTACAAGAACGGCTTTGGACATGCAGCGGGAGAGTACTGGCTGGGTAAGGACTTATTTAAAAAGCCTTTTCAAGGACAGATCACCAATGGAAAAACCTGGATAATATAATGAATAATTGGTAGTTAACTGAATTCTCTATAGTGAGGTTGTTGTGACAGTCAGTAGATAGGCAGGTCGATCACAACAAGACCATTGTGGTCTACCAAAAACATTTAGTTGGTGTGTAAAACCAGTGAGTCTAGAAATGCAACCTCCCACACTACCCCAAAGCAGTAAAAAAATTAATAGCTTTTTGACATCTCTTTCTGTGCTGACAGAATACATGACTTTTTGCATGATAAAAACAGAGAGCCCTCAAACTGAACTCTTGAGCGATGCCAGCGCCACTGGATTTTTTCCATTATTCCCCTTTAACCAGGGACTGATTTAGACCTGGGACACCAGGTGGGTGATTCCCCTTTAACCAGGGACTGATTCAGACCTGGGACACCAGGTGGGTGATTCCCCTTTAACCAGGGACTGATTTAGACCTGGGACACCAGGTGGGTGATTCCCCTTTAACCAGGGACTGATTTAGACCTGGGACACCAGGTGGGTGATTCCCCTTTAACCAGGGACTGATTTAGACCTGGGACACCAGGTGGGTGATTCCCCTTTAACCAGGGACTGATTTAGACCTGGGAAACCAGGTGGGTGATTCCCCTTTAACCAGGGACTGATTTAGACCTGGGACACCAGGTGGGTGATTCCCCTTTAACCAGGGACTGATTTAGACCTGGGACACCAGGTGGGTGATTCCCCTTTAACCAGGGACTGATTTAGACCTGGGACACCAGGTGGGTGATTCCCCTTTAACCAGGGACTGATTTAAACCTGGGACACCAGGTGGGTGATTCCCCTTTAACCAGGGACTGATTTAAACCTGGGACACCAGGTGGGTGATTCCCCTTTAACCAGGGACTGATTTAGACCTGGGACACCAGGTGGGTGATTCCCCTTTAACCAGGGACTGATTTAGACCTGGGACACCAGGTGGGTGATTCCCCTTTAACCAGGGACTGATTTAGACCTGGGACACCAGGTGGGTGATTCCCCTTTAACCAGGGACTGATTTAGACCTGGGACACCAGGTGGGTGATTCCCCTTTAACCAGGGACTGTTTTAAAACCTGGGACACCAGTGGGTGATAACCAGGGACTGAGTAGAGTTGAATACCTGGTGATCCCTTAACCAGCTGGTAGACTGGGAACCAGGTGGGTGATCCCCGATATAACCAGGATGCATCTGATGACTAATGGTGGGTAGAGTTGTCCCTCTGATTAACCACTGATTTAGACCTGGACGGTGGGTAGAGTTGATACCCCGGTTGTAACCAGCAGGCTTGGACCGTGGGTAAAGTTGAATACCCTGGTATAGTAACCAGCAGGCTCGGACCTGGTAGGGTAAGAGTTGAATACCCTGGATAGTAACCAGCGTGACTGGTAGGGTAGAGTTAAATACCCCTGGTATAGTAACCAGCAGGACCTGGTAGGTAGAGTTGAATACCCCTGGTATAGTAACCAGAGCCAGGACCGGGTAGGGTAAAGTTGATGAAAAGCCCCTGGTATAGTACCATAGCTTTGACCTGGTAGGGTAAGAGTTGAATACCCCTGGTATAGTAACCAGCAGGCTCGGACCTGGTAGGGTAAGAGTTGAATACCTCCTGGTATAGTAACCAGCAGGCTCTGGACCTGGTAGGGTAAGAGTTGAATACCTCTGGTATAGTAACCAGCAGGCTCTGGACCTGGTAGGGTAAGAGTTGAATACCCCTGGTATAGTAACCAGCAGGACCTGGTAGGGTAAGAGTTGAATACCCCTGGTATAGTAACCACAGCGGACCTGGTAGGGTAAGAGTTGAATACCCCTGGTATAGTAACCAGCAGGACCTGGTAGGGTAAGAGTTGAATACCCCTGGTATAGTAACCAGCAGGCTCTGGACCTGGTAGGGTAAGAGTTGAATACCCCTGGTATAGTAACCAGCAGGCCGGACCTGGTAGGGTAAGAGTTGAATACCCTGGTATAGTAACCAGCAGGCCGGACCTGGTAGGGTAAGAGTTGAATACCCTGGTATAGTAACCAGCAGCGGACCTGGTAGGGTAAGAGTTGAATACCCCTGGTATAGTAACCAGCAGGCCGGACCTGGTAGGGTAAGAGTTGAATACCCCTGGTATAGTAACCAGCAGGACCTGGTAGGGTAAGAGTTGAATACCCCTGGTATAGTAACCAGCAGCTCTGGACCTGGTAGGGTAAGAGTTGAATACCCTGGTATAGTAACCAGCAGACCGGACCTGGTAGGGTAAGAGTTGAATACCCCTGGTATAGTAACCAGCAGGCCGGACCTGGTAGGGTAAGAGTTGAATACCCCTGGTATAGTAACCAGCAGGACCCTGGTAGGTAAGAGTTGAATACCCTGGTATGTACCAGCGGACCTGGTAGGGTAAGAGTTGAATACCCCTGGTATAGTAACCAGCAGGCTCTGGACCTGGTAGGGTAAGAGTTGAATACCCCTGGTATAGTAACCAGCAGGACCTGGTAGGGTAAGAGTTGAATACCCCTGGTATAGTAACCAGCGGGACCTGGTAGGGTAAGAGTTGAATACCCCTGGTATAGTAACCAGCAGGCTCTGGACCTGGTAGGGTAAAAGTTGAATACCCCTGGTATAGTAACCAGCAGGCTCCGGACCTGGTAGGGTAAGAGTTGAATACCCCTGGCATAGTAACCAGCAGGCTCTGGACCTGGTAGGGTAAGAGTTAAATACCCCTGGTATAGTAACCAGCAGGCTCTGGACCTGGTAGGGTAAGAGTTGAATACCCCTGGTATAGTAACCAGCAGGACCTGGTAGGGTAAGAGTTGAATACCCCTGGTATAGTAACCAGCAGGCTCTGGACCTGGTAGGGTAACAGTTGAATACCCCTGGTATAGTAACCAGCAGGACCTGGTAGGGTAAGAGTTGAATACCTCTGGTATAGTAACCAGCAGGACCTGGTAGGGTAAGAGTTGATTACCTCTGGTATAGTAACCAGCAGGACCCAGACCTGGTAGGGTAAGAGTTGAATACCTCTGGTATAGTAACCAGCAGGCTCTGGACCTGGTAGGGTAAGAGTTGATTACCTCTGGTATAGTAACCAGCAGGACCTGGTAGGGTAAGAGTTGAATACCCCTGGTATAGTAACCAGCAGGACCTGGTAGGGTAAGAGTTGAATACCTCTGGTATAGTAACCAGCAGGACCTGGACCTGGTAGGGTAAGAGTTGAATACCCCTGGCATAGTAACCAGCAGGCTCTGGACCTGGTAGGGTAAGAGTTGAATACCCCTGGTATAGTAACCAGTAGGCTCTGGACCTGGTAGGGTAAGAGTTGAATACCTCTGGTATAGTAACCAGCAGGCTCCGGACCTGTTAGGGTAAGAGTTGAATACCTCTGGTATAGTAACCAGTAGGCTCTGGACCTGGTAGGGTAAGAGTTGAATACCCCTGGTATAGTAACCAGCAGGACCTGGTAGGGTAAGAGTTGAATAACCCTGGTATATTAACCAGCAGGACCTGGTAGGGTAAGAGTTGAATACCTCTGGTATAGTAACCAGCAGGACCTGGTAGGGTAAGAGTTGAATACCCCTGGTATAGTAACCAGCAGGCTTCGGACCTGGTAGGGTAAGAGTTGAATACCTCTGGTATAGTATCCAGCAGGCTTCGGACCTGGTAGGGTAAGAGTTGAATACCCCTGGTATAGTAACCAGCAGGCTCCGGACCTGTTAGGGTAAGAGTTGAATACCTCTGGTATAGTAACCAGTAGGCTCTGGACCTGGTAGGGTAAGAGTTGAATACCCCTGGTATAGTAACCAGCAGGACCTGGACCTGGTAGGGTAAGAGTTGAATACCCCTGGCATAGTAACCAGCAGGCTCTGGACCTGGTAGGGTAAGAGTTGAATACCCCTGGTATAGTAACCAGTAGGCTCTGGACCTGGTAGGGTAAGAGTTGAATACCTCTGGTATAGTAACCAGTAGGCTCTGGACCTGGTAGGGTAAGAGTTGAATACCCCTGGTATAGTAACCAGCAGGACCTGGACCTGGTAGGGTAAGAGTTGAATACCCCTGGTATAGTAACCAGCAGGCTCCGGACCTGGTAGGGTAAGAGTTGAATACCTCTGGTATAGTAACCAGCAGGCTCTGGACCTGGTAGGGTAAGAGTTGAATACCCCTGGCATAGTAACCAGCAGGACCTGGTAGGGTAAGAGTTGATTACCTCTGGTATAGTAACCAGCAGGACCCGGACCTGGTAGGGTAAGAGTTGAATACCCCTGGTATAGTAACCAGCAGGACCCAGACCTGGTAGGGTAAGAGTTGAATACCCCTGGTATAGTAACCAGCAGGACCTGGTAGGGTAAGAGTTGAATACCCCTGGTATAGTAACCAGCAGGACCTGGTAGGGTAAGAGTTGAATACCCCTGGTATAGTAACCAGCAGGCTCTGGACCTGGTAGGGTAACAGTTGAATACCTCTGGTATAGTAACCAGCAGGACCTGGTAGGGTAAGAGTTGAATACCCCTGGTATAGTAACCAGCAGGCTCTGGACCTGGTAGGGTAACAGTTGAATACCTCTGGTATAGTAACCAGCAGGACCTGGTAGGGTAAGAGTTGAATACCTCTGGTATAGTAACCAGCAGGACCTGGACCTGGTAGGGTAAGAGTTGAATACCCCTGGTATAGTAACCAGCAGGACCTGGTAGGGTAAGAGTTGAATACCCCTGGTATAGTAACCAGCAGGACCTGGACCTGGTAGGGTAAGAGTTGAATACCCCTGGTATAGTAACCAGCAGGACCTGGTAGGGTAAGAGTTGAATACCCCTGGTATAGTAACCAGCAGGCTCTGGACCTGGTAGGGTAAGAGTTGAATACCCCTGGTATAGTAACCAGCAGGACCTGGTAGGGTAAGAGTTGAATAACCCTGGTATAGTAACCAGCAGGCTCTGGACCTGGTAGGGTAAGAGTTGAATACCTCTGGTATAGTAACCAGCAGGACCTGGTAGGGTAAGAGTTGAATACCCCTGGTATAGTAACCAGCAGGACCTGGTAGGGTAAGAGTTGAATACCCCTGGTATAGTAACCAGCAGGACCTGGTAGGGTAAGAGTTGATTACCTCTGGTATAGTAACCAGCAGGACCTGGTAGGGTAAGAGTTGATTACCTCTGGTATAGTAACCAGCAGGACCTGGACCTGGTAGGGTAAGAGTTGAATACCCCTGGTATAGTAACCAGCAGGACCTGGTAGGGTAACAGTTGAATACCCCTGGTATAGTAACCAGCAGGCTCTGGACCTGGTAGGGTAACAGTTGAATACCTCTGGTATAGTAACCAGCAGGCTCAGGACCTGGTAGGGTAACAGTTGAATAACCCTGGTATAGTAACCAGCAGGCTCTGGACCTGGTAGGGTAAGAGTTGAATACCCCTGGTATAGTAACCAGCAGGACCTGGTAGGGTAAGAGTTGAATACCCCTGGTATAGTAACCAGCAGGCTCTGGACCTGGTAGGGTAAGAGTTGAATACCCCTGGCATAGTAACCAGCAGGACCTGGTAGGGTAAGAGTTGAATACCCCTGGTATAGTAACCAGCAGGACCTGGTAGGGTAAGAGTTGAATACCTCTGGTATAGTAACCAGTAGGCTCTGGACCTGGTAGGGTAAGAGTTGAATACCTCTGGTATAGTAACCAGCAGGACCTGGTAGGGTAAGAGTTGAATACCTCTGGTATAGTAACCAGCAGGCTCTGGACCTGGTAGGGTAAGAGTTGAATACCCCTGGTATAGTAACCAGCAGGCTCTGGACCTGGTAGGGTAAGAGTTGAATACCCCTGGCATAGTAACCAGCAAGACCTGGTAGGGTAAGAGTTGATTACCTCTGGTATAGTAACCAGCAGGACCCGGACCTGGTAGGGTAAGAGTTGAATACCCCTGGTATAGTAACCAGCAGGCTCTGGACCTGGTAGGGTAAGAGTTGAATACCCCTGGTATAGTAACCAGCAGGACCTGGTAGGGTAAGAGTTGAATACCTCTGGTATAGTAACCAGCAGGCTCTGGACCTGGTAGGGTAAGAGTTGAATACCTCTGGTATAGTAACCAGCAGGACCTGGTAGGGTAAGAGTTGAATACCCTTGGTATAGTAACCAGCAGGACCTGGTAGGGTAAGAGTTGAATACCTCTGGTATAGTAACCAGCAGGACCTGGACCTGGTAGGGTAAGAGTTGAATACCCCTGGTATAGTAACCAGCAGGACCTGGACCTGGTAGGGTAAGAGTTGAATACCTCTGTTCTAGAGGTTCACCTCGTCTGTTGGATGCAGGTCTGGACACCATCTACCTCCTGACCCTGAAGAAGGCGTATGAGTTGAGGGTGGACATGGAGGACTTCGGACAACAGAAAGCCTTCGCTTTCTACTCCTCCTTCGCCATCTCTCCCGAAGTCACCGACCCTGAACTGGACGGCTACAAGCTCCACGTTACTGGCTTTAAAGACGGAGGTGCAGGTGAGAGCAGTTCAACTTCATTAGATCAACATCAGGGGTGTGGTCATTAGTCGAGAGTTCAGCTGGGTCCCTTCATTCGGTTCTGTTTGGTTCCTAGTGAATACAGCCCTGGGCCCATTCGGTTCTGTTTGGTTCCTAGTGAATACAGCCCTGGGCCCATTCGGTTCTGTTTGGTTCCTAGTGAATACAGCCCTGGGCCCATTCGGTTCTGTTTGGTTCCTAGTGAATACAGCCCTGGGCCCATTCGGTTCTGTTTGGTTCCTAGTGAATACAGCCCTGGGCCCATTCGGTTCTGTTTGGTTCCTAGTGAATACAGCCCTGGGCCCGTACTCATAAATAGTCTCAGAGCTGATCTAGGATCCGTTTATTTTAGATCATGATGAATAGTATTACATGGAAAGGACGGGGGGGGACCTGGTCCTAGATCACATTGAGAATGGCACACACCCTATTCCCTATAGAGTACAGAACGTTTGACCAGGGGCTCTGGGCAGTAGCCTTTATGGTGAATAGGTTACTTAACATCTGACCTGTGTTTCCTGCTCGAACCCAGGAGATTCTCTCACCTATCACAGTGGTATGAAGTTCTCCACCTTCGACCGAGACCAGGACACTACTGAAACCAACTGCGCAGTTGCCGCAGTAGGAGGGTATTGGTTCAACGAGTGTTACCACTCAAACCCCAACGGTCTTTATACATGGGGATTCAACTCACAGATGGGAGTCAACTGGAGGGCATGGAAGACCTTCTACTCTGTGAAAGCCATATCCATGAAGATCAGGCCTGTGAACCTGTGAAGGGCCTTCACAGAGTCATTTGGTTAAACATGGTTGTTTGATCTGCAGCCCGAATTCAAAATGGATTAAAGATTTGTTTTCTCTCTCACCCATCTACACACAATACCCCATACTGACAAAGTGGAAAACATGTTTTTAGAAATGTTAGCAAAATGTATTGAAAATGAAATACAGAAATATCTGATTTAAAACTGAACAAAAATATAAAACGCAACATGTAAAGTGTTGGTCCCATGTTTCATGAGCTGAAATGAAAGATCCCAGAAATTTTCCATACGCACAAAAAACTTCTCAAATTTTGTGCACAAATTTGTTTACATCCCTGTTAGTGATAATTTCTCCTTTGCCAAGATAATCCATCCACCTGACAGGTGTGGCATATCAAGAAGCTGATTAAACAGCATGATCATTACTCAGCTGCACCTTGTGCTGGGGACAATAAAAGGCCACTCTAAAATGTGCAGTTTTGTCACACAACACAATGCCACAGATGTCTCAAGTTTTGAGGGAGCATGCAATTGGCATGCTGACTGCAGGAATGTCCATCAGAGCTGTTGCCAGAGAATTGAATGTTAATTTCTCTACCATAAGCCACCTCCAAAGTCATTTTAGAGAATTTGGCAGTACGTCCAACCGGCCTCACAACCACAGACCACGTGTACGGCGTCGTGTGGGCTAGCGGTCGGCTGATGTCAACGTTGTGAACAGACTGCCTCATGGTGGTGGTGGGGTTATGGTATGGGCAGGCCTAAGCTACGAACAACGAACACAATTGCATTTTATCGATGGCAATTTGAATACACAAAAGATACCGTGGCGAGATCCTGAAATCCATAGATTAGGGCCTAATTTATTTATTTCAATTGACACATTTTCCTTAAATTAACTGTAACTCAGTCAAATCTTTGAAGTTGTTGCATGTTGCATTTATATTTTTGTTCAGTATACATAAGTATTAACATCCCTGAGTCAATACATGTTAGAATCACCTTTGGCAGCGATTACAGCCTTGAGTCTTTTGGGGTCTCGAAGAGCTTTCCACACCTGGATTGTACAATATTTGCCCATTATTCTTTTTTTAAGCTCTGTCAAGTTGGTTGTTGATCATTGCTAGACAGCCATTTTCAGATCTTGCCATTGATTTTCAAGCAGATTTAAGTCAAAACTGTAACTCGGCCACTCGGGAACATTCAATGTCTTCTTGGTAAGCAACTCCAGTGTAGATTTGGCCTTGTGTTATAGGTTATTGTCCTGCTGAAAGGTGAATTTGTCTCCCAGTGTCTGGTGGAAAGCAGACCAGGTTTTCCTCTAGGATTGCTTGTGCTTAGCTCCATTTCATTTCTTTTTATCCTAAAAAACTCCCCGGTCCTTGCCGATGACAAGCATACCCATAACACGATACAGCCACCACCATGCTTGAAAATATGAAGAGTGATACATTTTTTTTTACATTTTAGTCATTTAGCAGACGCTCTTATCCAGAGCGACTTAACGGTTAAGTGAGTGCATACATTTTTTCATACTGGCCCCCCGTGGGAAACGAACCCACAACCCTGGCGTTGCAAGCGCCACGCTCTACCAACTGAGCTACAGGGGGCCGTGATACTCAGTGATGTGTTGTGTTGGATTTGTCCCAAACATAACGCTTTGTATTCAGGACATTTCCTTGCAGATTTACTTCAGTCCCTTGTTGCAAACAGGATGCATGTTTTAGAATTTTTTTTTTATTCTGTACAGGCTTCCTTCTTTTCACTCTGTCAATTAGGTTAGTATTGTGGAGTAACTACAATGTTGTTGATCCATCCTCAGTTTTCTCCTATCACAGGCATCCAACTCTGTAACTGTTTTAAAAAGTCACCATTGGCCTCATGGTGAAAACTCTTTGATATGTGCCCTACTTTAAAAGGTATTGGAAAACCTCCATTGCCTTTGTGGCTGAATCTGTGTTAGAAATTTACTGTGGGGTACAGAGATGAGGTAGTCATTCAAAAATCATGTTAAAACACTATTATTGCACACAGAGTCCATGCAACTTATTAAGTGACTTGTTAAGCACATTTGTACTCCTGAACTTATTTAGGCTTGCCATAACAAAGGGGTTGAATAATTATTGACTCAAGACATTTCAGATTTTTATTTTGTATTAATTTGTTTTGGGTTTTTTTAAATGGAAAAAGATCATTCCACTTTGACTTTATGGGGTATTGTGTGAAGGCCAGTGACAACAACAAAAAATAAGCGCTATTTAATCCATTTTAAATTCAGGCTGTCACACAACGAAATGTGGAAAAAGGTCAAGGGGTGTGAATACCTTCTGAAGGCTCTGTATGTTTAGATAAGGTTTGCATCATTCACAACTAAAGTTGCCAAATAACTCTACATCTAGTAAATCTAAAAATGTAATAAATAAATAAATAAATAAAATAATAATAATCATCATCTAGTATATAGGACCTGTTTCAACTGATCACTTTTACGCTCCACATTGTCACTTCCTAAGCGAACTCGCTCCGGAATGGCAAAAAAAAATCCTTTCTATTTTATTCAGCTAAGTTCAATTATATTCTTCTTACTATGATATCATAATCAAAAATAATGTCAGGGCACTTAAGCATATCTTGTCTGCTGAATGAACAAGCCACAGCCAGATAACATACAGAGGGCCAACTCATATTCTGGTCTTCTGAAATACATTTTCTTCATATCAATGTTTCTTTAGACCTGCCTAAAATAAATAATGGATTTATTGTGATGGCGTATATTCAAATGATTTATTAGTATTTTGCATGACAATAACCGTCTGACAATTTAATTGACAGCCACAGCCCTATTTGTGGCCAAAGCTTAAAGAAGAATGTTCCTATTTTTGAAGTAATCTTAATTTTTTTTATATAAATAGAATGTTTTAGAAGGGTCCAGACACTTTTTTAGTGATTTGGCTTATTTTTGAGAAACTTACCCCAGCCGCGATTCACTTCCTCATTGCTTGTTGTTCAGTATCAGTGAGCGTGAGGGGAAAACAGCTCGAGTCGACCAAAATGGATTATAACACTGCGGATAAAGTTCGGAATGACATCATTTCATGTGTACAACATCGCAAAGGCATACATCACTATACTGAGAGCGTGTCCATTTCTAAAAGGACGTATTCGTTTAGTTTTTTTAAAGCTTTTGTTCATGTCTTTTGCTTGCCCCGAGCCAAATTACAAAAAATAAATAAGTGTCAACCCTTCTACAACATGCCATTTACATCATTGTCCTGTTTGTTGTTCAGAAGGATGTCAGGCGGCAGGTAGCTTAGTGGTTAAAACCGTTCTAATCCCCCGAGCCGACTAGGTGAAAAATATGTCGATGTACCCTTGAGCAAGGCACTTAACCCTAATTGCTCATGTAAGTCGCTCTGGCTAAGAGCGTCCCGCTAAATGACTAAAATGTAAATGTAATGTCAGAAATCTAAACTAATACGTAGACCTTGTTGTCCTGTTTGCTACAAATATAGGCAGTGTATTAGGATCTCTCAACTCAGACAACATGCCTGACATCGTGACGTCATACTGGAGATACTGCTAGAATTAAAAATCGCTCATAACTGTAAACACACACACACACACACACACACACACACACACACACGACTGGCTTCCATGGAAGGGTAAGACTATACCCTCAAGGGGAAAGCAACTTTTCAGAGGGTGACTGCATCGAATTTCATTCCCCCCAAATCAGATTCTATTTCTCCTCTGTACAAAAAACAAGAGATCAATAGGGCTTCCCTCTTCATTCAAAACACATCTTCCACAGCAGCCTGGATCCTAGCCTGGCCCAATTATACTGGATGGTACATAGCAATGACAGAGCAGCTGGATCCTAGCCTGGCCCAATTATACTGGATATTACAGAGCAGCTGGATCCTAGCCTGGACCAATAATACTGGATTTGACAGAGCAGCTGGATCCTAGCCTGGCCCAATAATACTGGATATGACAGAGCAGCTGGATCCTAGCCTGGCCCAATAATACTGGATGGTACAGAGCAGCTGGATCCTAGCCTGGCCCAATAATACTGGATATGACAGAGCAGCTGGATCCTAGCCTGGCCCAATAATACTGGATGGTACAGAGCAGCTGGATCCTAGCCTGGCCCAATAATACTGGATATGACAGAGCAGCTGGATCCTAGCCTGGCCCAATAATACTGGATATGACAGAGCAGCTGGATCCTAGCCTGGCCCAATAATACTGGATATGACAGAGCAGCTGGATCCTAGCCTGGCCCAATTATACTGGATATGACAGAGCAGCTGGATCCTAGCCTGGCCCAATAATACTGGATATGACAGAGCAGCTGGATCCTAGCCTGGCCCAATAATACTGGATATGACAGAGCAGCTGGATCCTAGCCTGGACCAATTATACTGGATATGACAGAGCAGCTGGATCCTAGCCTGGCCCAATAATACTGAAAGAAAAGCTGGCTAGCACTTATGTTTAAATGGGACTAGTGTTGTTGTTCCTGTAACAGGTGTCTTTTTAAAAGTTCCACGTTATAATGTTATGATTAAACAAGGGATAAGACTGAGTGCTTAAAGACGCACTCCAGGATTTTAAGCATATAGTACGAATTGGATTAGTAACATATCAAAAAGAATAGCATTTTTTATTTATTTTTGCATGACGTAACATATCATGCGAAATGGATGCCGTAGTACACAAAAAACAGGGACCACTTTTAGCTCGTGAGCACCACTTTCAAAACTACTGGATGAAATGATACAAAAGTTAGAGGGTGCATCTTTAACTGGTTACACCGATCTTACAGAGGGAGTATTGAATATATAACCTTGCTGATCCTAAAGTTAAATCATTCCTAATACAGTATTATGGTTTTAATATCTGATATGACTAGCGTGGAACCCTCGTATTGTCGGCATATTCAACAGCGTTTAAGAAATATATTACCTTCGACAGTGTTACCTTGTGATCAAGCCA